GTTTCCCAAGATAAGGGGACCCTAATATAGACCCCAAAATACTATACTCCTTATTATGGGGGTAGAGAGATCCACTTCCCAACTCCCTAGGGGACCGCGGCAGATCTCGAGCATCAAGCTAAGCCCAAAAACAAAAGTATCTGACCATAGGGGCACACATGGGCCCCAACCTATTGCAATCCTTCAACAAAGTCACTAGTATATTGGGGTTACATTGGGGTAACCCCAATACCAGGGTTATATTGGGATAATGGAAGAGAAAATGGAAACTACTACTTAGGGTACGCTCCCATCAACCCTGCAGACCCTACATCATGCCAGATCATCCTGTTGGGTCCTCAGTAATCTCTGCTGGTCAAAAGCTACTCTCTTCCTGCCTGTGGCGGGCTCCACCACAGCGGACTGGTTGCGGGGCCAGAACTCCACGAAGTCCATCACGGCACCTGAGTATCTTTTGTCCTAGATATGCGAGGCAAAATCGAGGATCCTCATTCTCAAAGGCGTAACAAAATTTAGAACGATACTTTGGGAACCCTTCACCCGAAGAAGCTGACCTTCAAATGCCTAGATTGTCGGATACGACTTCGGATTGCCACTCATGAAGTTTTCCTCTCAGGGCAACCTCAAAGGAGTGACAGAGTAGGGCGAGCGTGTGGTATCAGGCGTGCCTAGAAGCAGAGCTTCATTAAACTCTGGGTATGTAACTTTGACATCTTGCTCTTCCTTGCTGTGGGTCCAATAACAACTATCACCAAGGAGCAGGTATATATTCAACTTGTACTGCTGTCATACAGTTCCCTGCAGCTAATGTATGGGCACAAGCTGCCCTTACAAGCGTCAAGACAACCTCTCAAGTGCAAGAACATCGCACTTGTTGAGATTGAGATGCTCCGGCAAACAAGATGTGATGAGCCGAAGAGATCCTCATACATTAAGCTGCTATCTCTACAATGTGTCCTATCTGCAGTGTGTCCATTGCGTTCAGTCTTCGTCTGATATCTCTTGCGAACTCTCCTGGTGCCAGGAGTTGGAAGGGAGGAGCAGCTGCACAGCTATGAGCCATAAAATCCGCCTGTCCCCTCCCTGATCCCTAAATGTAATTACTACTATTATTAGCATTACTACTCTCATTCCTATTATTAGCATTACTACTATCATTCCTATCATTACTCTTATTGCTAAGGACTATTATTACTATCCTTGCGCTGCTTCCATGGCACCGTCAACCGCGCGCCTCGCCGTGAAGGAGGAGGGCCCCAGTCGGCGAGGACGAAGGTGGAGGAGCTCAGTCACAGGCTTGCCGTTGCTTAAGGGAGAGTAGGGGAGTGAATATGTGGACTATTCTAGGGCTATATATAGGTATAGGGATTATATAGGAATTACTATAAGGATGATAAAGGAATATATGAGGATTACTTAGGGATTATTATGAGGATGCACTCCCCTACTCTCCCTTAAGTACCAGCAAGCAGGGAGTTGGAGCAAATAAGTGGAAGTGCTAGGTATCGGTTGCCAAGTGGTGGTCGCTCTGATCTGCATGTGTGCCTGTTGTATCATCACATTCTGTCTAGATCAATCCTCTCAAATAAAGAAGTAAAATATGTAAAACAGTCTGATAACAATGGTAATCTCAATTCTTGCAAGCATTATATTGGTAGTAAGAATACAAATAATCTTCGTCATGGCAATAGCAGTAGATATAGTAATAGTCAATACTTGCAAATATTTCAGGCTGACCTGGTGAACATCTGGGGTGTACTGTCCCGCACGCCTTAGGCCTGACTTTAGGGTATTCTTGAGCTGAGCTACGCCCCAGCCGTAGTGGTCTGCTGCGCGAAACCTGAAGGTTGTGAGCTGAGGTCGCTAGCAAGTGCATCGAGGGAGGACGTCTTGAAACAATCGTTCAAGTAGTTGCGGCAGCATTCAAGTACTAATACCTCGAGCAGCTGTCAACATGTCTGAGCTACCAGCAAACAAGCCTGCACATATAGGCAGGCATGGAGATGCAATGCTCGCGCCAAGAAGCGCTGACGTGGCGCTGGGCTGCCAGCTATTGTAGAGTGCTTCCTCAGGGAGGGATGAGGAAGCTGAAGCTTTCAGATGTGTACAGACAGTCGAATGGGCACTCCAGAGCACAGACCCCGCACCATGTTGCCACCGTGACCGACAACGAAATGCTGCACTCCGTCGATGGGAAAGGAACGCTCGTATGCGTGAACGTGGCCAGAGAAAACCAGGTCCATCCTCCACAGAGCACGAACATGTTGACACCATGGCCCAGCCATCAGATTGCAGACTCCGCAATAGAGCAGTTCAGCAGAGACGCTTGTCCGGCAGGAGCAAAGGCTCTGCCGCCGAGCGCAAGTTTCGGGTAGCTACCTGAAGCAGGTGAAGTAGGCAGAGCGCGAGTTGACCCTTGAATAAAGAGCCATCTCAGCTGTAGTTTGTTAATAATACATAATTACTACTATACTGCATTATAATTCACTCTCGTATGCTATAGTGACAGGAAAAGCACCCCCAATCGCCTCGTTGTCCGGCCGATGCTTGCGCGAGGAATGATGCCAAGGGGCATGTGTCAGCACCTCGTCGCGGCTACGCGTGGCTGCATGCCCTGGATTAACCACAACCAACCTCAGAGTAACCCAATAGGGGTACCATAGGGTTTCCCAAAATATAGGGGGACCTTTTTGGGGTTCCCTATAATAAGGACTATAGACATTGGGGTCTATATTGGGGTCCCCTTATTTTGGGAAACTACCAAATGTTCACCCAGAAGCACTGCAACGTGTTCAGCGGCAGAACGGTTGATGCGACGTAGCTCTCTTTGGAGCCATCTGATCTGGGGCGAGCCCGGAGAACTGTCGGTGTACCTCACTCTCAAGTTTCTAGCAGGCATCTTGCTGGAAGGCTTCAAACTCTATGTGCAAACAACGCAACAGAAAGTGACCATCCCCAAGCAGCCCCAAGAAACTTCACGGAACCTTAAGCCTTAAGGGAGACTTGTGTGCTTCTGACTCTTACAATTAGCCTGCTGCCGCCACGAGAGAGTTTACGTCATGGCGCGGATTCAAGACCAGGAAGTGCGTGCACCCCACCTTTGGCAGGTGAATGTCAGCGGGTGTGATCTGGAGTTTGCATTTCTGAAAGGCGCCGGAACTCCATAATCTCTGCACTACAGCTTTTACCACAAGATCCGGCTACCGGAGGCTTGCGGCTGCGTACCCTGCAAAGTTAAGGCTGCTCCTTCCCAGCGTTGAATTCACTTCTGGCCTCCAAGCCGAAAAAAGAGCCGCCGAAGTCAAAGCGCAGCGGAAGGTCGTAGGTCGCCCAGTGTTGCCAGGCGTCCTGCACTTGGGGAACGCTGCGAGGTGTTGAGGAGCCTGAGGCTTGGCATGAATAGAAGCCTTTCACAAACAATGTCATACAAGACATTGTATTGCAGCCCCCTACAGCACCAAATGAGGAGAACTTGAGAAACTCTCATACGAGGTGAGCATGGCCCGCAGATTGGCAACATGTAATTTGGAGGGCCCTTTGCCAATGCATATAGTCCCCCCTAAAGTAGATAGAATATGGGGTATATGGGGATCTTATCTAATATACCCAAAGCCATATTCTATCTACTTTAGGGGGACTCTACGTCTGAACCACAGGGCCACTTGCCAAGGGCATCCTGTTGACACTCAGAGGCCAACAACCTTCGGATCACTGGGTTGCTGTTAGAGAACTTAGTTTAAGTTACTATTTTGGAGAAATCATATTAATTACCATATATACCCATTGTGGTAACTTAATTCAAGCTCCTTAAACCCATATATTACCCAAGTTTCCATTTCATTTTCCATTTTGTTGTCCATTTGATTCTCCATTGTAGCGGGATAGTATAGCTTAGTTTAAGTTCCTTAACCTGTAAAGCCCTGAATAGTAGTTTCCATCTTATTTTCCGTTATCCCTATTTCATACCTATAATAAGTCACTTAATCTAAGTTCCGTAAATCCCTATATTACCCCAGTTTCCATTTCATTTTCCATTTGACTACCCATAATGGTAGCTTAAATCCAAATTGCATAACAGCAACCCTAAACCCTACACCTCCCCAAACCCTATACCAGTATGGTAACTTAATTTAAGTTCCTTAACAGCAACCCTGATGCGAGCCTCTGGAGGCGCGGCCACCTCCTCGCTTTGAACCTGTGGCGTCCGCCAGCGGACGCGAAAGGGCAGGAAGGGCTCACCTGAAACAGGCCGAGCCATGTTACCATCATTGGTGTACATATATATATATATATTCTATCGTCATATGTATGTTATTGGACTATATTATACTACAAAAACATACACACTATGTTATATCATATGTAACACTTAAAACTGTTCCCCTAGCATTCTGACTGAAATTATGTTCCTTGACAGCAGCCCAGATTCTCAGAAGCTGCGAAGTTTAGCCTGGTCTAACTTACAACTTTTAAGGCATCCAACGATGTGCCTGTCTTCCCTTGAAACACACATCCCTTAAGAGCAAGAGCTGAACTGTTTCAGCGCCTGTGATCTCATCTGGCTCGATTTCCTGCATTGCTTAATTTCAAGGAAGGGTGCGTGCAACTTTAGTGCGAGTGTCCAGTCTTACACGTCAAACATTTAACAGACGGCTCTGAGACGCTTGGTTGGTTCTTAGCAGGCGCATCTCAGCAGCATGGCTCTTTAATCTACATGTGACTGCGCAACTTTCACGCGACTCCCGAGGCCCCTGGCAGTCATGATTGCCGGGCAGCACCACCCAGGGAATGTCGGCGCAGCCAGATGTATCGAACATGCGCTGGAATGAATCCCACCTCAAAGAGTTAGATCCGCAGCTTCAACATGCTTTCTCAAGTCGAAAGCTCCCAGAGTCTGAACGGTACCCCAACATCAGCTCAAGGAGCCTGCTGGCATTTGTGTCGGCATAGGACAGATCTCCTCCACGCCAGCCACAACTCAAGCAGCCCACCAAAGTTCATTTGCAGATGCCACCACTCAAGTCGCCGCAAAATATGCTGGGGAGGACTCTAGCTGCTCCGCCGTCTGTCTCCTAAGGCCCTGAACATCAGTGGAAGTGGCCCGCAGCCCGTAGTGCTATGGCATTTGGTGGGCAAGACCTGTTGAATGTCAACGAGGGTCCAGTGTACCCAAATCATTTTTGCTACAGCTGTGATCCGTGGCTACAAACAGCTGCAAGTTGCTTGCTGGGCATGCTTAATGTTGCGTTTCAGTCCCAGGCTCCTACCAGCACACCAAGGTCCAGGCCCTCATTGGCATGGACACGTGCAACATCGCGACAGGTGGCAGCGCTAAAGTTCGTCTGGCCAAGGTCGCCTGCGTGCGAAGACTAAGCCCTTGCACCTGTCTTAGTGCTTTAACTTCGTTCAAGCTTCCGCTGCATGTCTGACACCCGCTGCTAATGCGGAAGGTGGCTCTGTAACGGAGGCGTGAGAACTCGGTCAGATGTGCAAGCCTAATGACCCCCAGAGCTTCCCTGAGCCACCTAATCCCAGCCTATTACAGCGACTTTGAGCTCGTCTCCCAATTTTGGAAGACCCTTCCTAAGTGAGTTAGCATGTCGCAGCTGCTCACTGATGATGAACTGATCAAAAAGAATCACTCATCCAACTCTGTTGAGCTTCAGCGCGCGCCAAGGCGTTGCACCACTCCGGTTTGTCGTTAGCCGGAAACCTCATGCTGAGGTCATTGGTGACTTGGCTGACCAAAGTTGATCAAATAACCCCTGGTACCACACATGCACCTGGCCATGCTTTGAAATGTGCTCCAAGCGGCGATAGCGCATGGCTGCCTCCACGTTAACTTGGGCATGGAGAAGTAGCGGGCTCCTGTACCTTCACATGACATGCAATGAGGGAACAAATGGCACGCCACACGTAGCCAGTGCAATTGCGCATCCAGGGCCCGCCTTCCCTCCAGCTGGCACCGTGGTGCGAAGCGGCGCCCGCAGATGATGTCGTAACGGCTAACTTCGGGCTTGTAAAGCCTCTCGGAGCCAGACACTGGCTCCATCTTCTGCCCAAGTCTCTGTATCCTCAGCAAGGTGGGCACAACAAAGCTTGACACCAAATGGATGTTGTAAAAGCCCTTTCCTTCTGCCCTGCACCTGCAAACCCTGAAATCAGGCAGTCAGGAATCTCCACATCGGCGACTTGCCCGCCGGGACTTGCCTGGGCATCCACCATACAGCTGGCCAGCAATTTGTGCAGTTGCAGAAATACAGCTGTATCCCAGTTCCTATCAGTTCCTTGACTCCTTGCTATTTGGGGTTTCCCAAAATTAGGGGTACCATTTTCAGGGTCCCCATAATAAGGACTATAGTATTTTGGGGTCTATATTGGGGTCCCCTTATTTGGGGAAAGTACAACTTACCTCCCTGGTTCTTGGCCAGGGAGCCCACGAGACGGTAAAGAGGCCATTGCTCACGGGTGCCACATGAAGCTGCTCTGCATCCAGCCCCATGGCACATTCTCCCCCCGCCCTTATCCCTATAGGACCCCTATATACTAATTCCTATCTGTACCCATTATGGTAACTTAATTTAAGTTCCTTAAATCCCTATATTACCCAAGTTTCCATTTCATGTTCTATGGTCTTTTCCATTCGATTCTCCTTATGGGGGTGCATTGCCAGGTTGCTGGAAGTTTTAGGCTTGAAGCGTTCCGAAAGTTATAATGGCTGTGCTGCTAGTAGTAGTGACAGAGCCCAACTGCGCAATCTGTTCCGTAGTACTGGAATTAACATTAAGAGTGCATAGCGCTCAGCGTTTTGAAAGCTCGGCTGCAGGAGCCATTCTTTAGCAAAGGGGGTGAGTGCGCCATGAAGTCCGAGATCTGGTTGCATTTAGACCCAGATCGGCTTATATAGGATTATGTTGGGGGTGTATAGGAGTTATATTGGGATAATGCAAAAGAAAATGGAAACTACTATACTGGGTATGTCAGGCCAAAGGAATGGCAGTCGACTCAGCCACAGGCTCTGACAGATCATTAGTTTCGCTGGCAAGGCCACATGTTGCAAAGGGCTGTGCATGGACACCCTTGATGAGTCGGGCATCAAGCCGTTTCTTTTCCCCCCCTTATCCCTATATAACCCCGATATAACTCTAGCTTCCATTTCATTTTCCATTTGATTCTCCATTATTGGGGTTGGGAACCCTAAGCCCAACAACCACTTCTGCGCCTGGCGCACCACCTTCTGGCCTTGCAGATTTCCCATTCGCGGCTGCCTGGCAATGTCAACCAGCATGCTGGCATTCAGTTCAGCTGGGTTCCAAGGATACCAGGTCCTCTATGGTAGTTTCCATAACTGAGGGGACCCCCCAATATAGGTTCCAAATTTTATCATCCTTGTTACAAGGCCCTCAAAAAGGTATCCGTAATTTTGGGAACCACCCCTATAAAACCCAAACTCCTAAATCCTTCCTTTTTCTTGTCCATTGTCCCTACACAATCCCTATATTCCCTATATAACCAGAAACTATACCCTGAACCCTAAACCCCACGGCAGGTCACCTCCATCGCCGGGCTCCCAGGACCAAGGCGGCCGCGCCCACGGCCGAGGCTTTGACTGCGAAGTTGGCCTGGCCAAGATATCAAGCTTGATAACAGTAATTGATATATATCTATATTTATGTATATACATGTATATATATATGTATGTATACGTATATCTATACATATATATATATATCTATATGTATACGTGTATATATATATATATATTAATGTATATATGTATAAGCCAGTGCTTGAAACTGACTGCTCCCTCTTTGGAGGCTCTAGATCATCTGCTCACCTGTTTCCGCGTGATGAATGCTTACAGCGATTCCAAAAATACGAAGAAGGATCCTGTGATTGCACAGCATACCTGTCTTTCAAAAGGACATGAAGTCGCCTCCAATATTAGTTCGGATCCCTGTGGGAAAGTTGTTGTTAGTGATCTGTTCTATGAAGACTTTCCTTGCGGGTGGATGTTTCCTGTAGAAGAACATTTCAGAACGCTTTGCACGACAACTAGACTTGTAATTAAACGAAGGGCTCTGCGCGGTGTGACAGAACTACCAACTGAAAAGGGTCTTTGTTTCTACGATGCTTTGTGATATAATTAAGGGGACATGCAGACAATTGGGTGGAGCTATAACGGCCCCCACATCTGCATTGTACGTGTTTCCTGGATTCAGAATGTTCACCATAGATCATGTTGGAATCGCAGGGTGCATCATGTCAGGCTGAGAAAGCTTGACGTTCTGAGGTCCCGCGGTCTTGCAGCTAACAAAGTCATGTTTGAAGTCAGGTGCCCATGCACTTGTGCGTGGCGGCATAGCTCTTGACTGCCTGGACAATACACCAATAATCTTTGAGAGCAAAGTTTGGGTTCGAATGACTGTACACCACCTGGGTATGGCTATAAAAGGAATCCCACCCCCTCTCCCTCGCTGCACCCAGGAGCATCGCCTGTGGGGCAACACTGGTTGCGCTTGTCGTCACGTCAGTGGCCGTGTAGGGTGGAGGCGCAACCCTGAAGCTGCAACGTGCCAGGAGGTCAAAACCAGCTCTGCCCCACGCAAGTGGCATCTAGCCCTTCTACCAATCTGAGCTGGATGTCATCATAGAATATCATAGATTGAATCCCGTTTCCACTGCATTCAGCACCTGAGGAGGCTGACTTGACATGAGCCACATGGATTAGTGCAATAGGTCGTGAACAAATTTGTCGAAATCTAGCACAGTGAGCGCACCCTGATCTGTAAAAGACAGCTAACGGCCTTATCAGTCAAATCAAGTTCGGAGCTTGCCCTTGCGCTTCCAGCATCCTTGCATGACAGTTGCCTCGTCACTTTCTGCTGCTTGCATGGTACTGCAGAAACTCCTTTGCTTCTCAAGCCTCCTGCGTTTGGGAGTCAGTACGGGCTTTTTCTGTGACACTTTTATAGCTCAAGACAATCTAAGTCCCACCTCAATTCTTAAGCAAGTCACCGCGGCGGCTGCTCAAGGGACAGGAAGGCTAGGTCGGCCATGGAGCCTGAAGCAACTGTGATCTCATCCGACTACAGGCTCTGCTGCTGAAACTCGCAGGTTGCTACTAGCCTCACTGGTTCTTAGTAGGGAATAAGGGAATTATATTCCATATATGACCCGTATACAACATATTCCTTTATTCCCTACTAAGAACCAGTAAGTAGAAGGATTGCGTCCGGATTGTGCAAGGGTAAACATACAAGCTCCCCACCTGCCATCATCAAAAGCTCAGCCTACAGCTTCTTCACACTAGTCACTACAGGTAACTCGTGAGTGGCAACTGGGCTGCATCCAGTGCATCCATGACACGTTAATAATCGACTCCGCAACAGCTGCCTGAACCTATACTGGAGGTCTAACAATGCTGCGTGATGAAGTTGACAGGGTCTTTCTGTGAGCCAGGAGCACCGTCTCTCACACAAACCATGGCGAAGCTGTAATTCTTGCATGTGCAGCCTAGCTCATTGCACTGACGCATGTGTAGCTCCTTCACCAAACGGTCTTCCCTGGATTCAGACAAGGTAAGTGACTAAGCTTGTCTGCTCTCTTTTTTTCCATGTGCAGGAGTCGGTCTCATCCTCAAGGTGGAGGCCGATGCCATTGAGCTGGTTGCTGCACCTTGGACATGCAGGCCAGACTAGCCACACTAGCATCATGCTTTTCAATGCCCCTGAGCATGTATGACGTGGCTCTGCAGCCACTGCGCGATCATCAGTTTGGATGCTTTGCTACGCATAAACTTACTAGCATGCCCACTCTATTCAGAAATAAAATCCTCAACCACGCAAGATCCGTGTCAGAACTCAAATGTGACCTGTGGTCATAAGGGCATACGGGTCAACCCATGAGAGATTGTTAGATGGCTTTCCGTGCCATTGTCGGGCAGTGGAATGGGGAGTCCTGCACCCCTAGACTCTTGGCTACAGTTGTGTAAGTATGAACGAAGCTATCTCAACCGTTCCCCACATGCACGCTGTGCGCCCCCTTTTCTCGAATGAGATCTTAATGGAACAGCATCGGCCAATCACGGCAGCCAGGCATGTGCGGGCCATTTCCTCACTCGGATACTTTTAGGCTACCGAGCCATGGATGGATATGTGCCCGCTGTTTCTGACGCTTGCATTGCTCTACTTCCCATCTTGTAACACTTCAGACCACGCGGCAACAAACCGTACCCAGTAAAAACTACATGATTACTGACCCACAATCAGACCAAGGGTAATTCCACTTCAAGCGCAACATAGTGAATCCTACTCCAGCATGCGTCCGAGGCGTCGCCGTGTCACTTGGATTTTC